ACTGGGGCTGCAAATGGTGCTAACAATCCGGGTGATGTTCTGAGCCAGGAGATTAAAGTTGGACAGCTCAAACACATGGCCAGGGTTGTTGTTGGCAATCTGCAGTAGTTCTGAGCGGTCAAAGTTGCCCACACCGATAGCGAAGACGGTCACTCCGTCAGCGGCCAGAGCTTGGGATGGCGCGACGACGCTGTCCGATGACGCTCCGTCGGTCAGAGCTACCATAATCTGGAAAAGTAGAACTTCTAGTCAATAAGACAGACAATTTTCATATCGATAGTCTCATTGAAGTCTTCCTTAGTACTGTAATTTAGGTCAGGTAGAATATCATATTTAGGTGATTTTTCAGAACAACTGATGATGATGATGTAGAAGACCTAGCCTCTCCCAGGCTTGAGAGCGGCTAGAAGGATAGAAATTGGCCAAATACACAAATAATATGCCAGGCTCCAGAGTAAACTGTGCTCCTTTTGTTGCCCAACTCCCCTGTCATTTTATTTCTCTATTTAGCCAATCTCTACTCTTTCCAGCCGCTTCTCAAGCCTATCTTGGTTTTTATGAATACATTTGACGCCAATTACAAAGTGATGAGATGTACCTACCCTTGGAGTAGGTGCAGGTCTCCAGGCGGCGTTCAGCCGAGCGAACTCCAGAGCAGCTCCAGTATTTGTGTCGCCGCCTTGGTAAGAGAGGGTGTTAATGGCGCTGACGAAAGATGACTCATCAGGATGGTCTCCCAGGTTAAACTCCAGTCTGGATTATTAAGTTTAGACAGGTTAGCATAAGTTAGGTCTCTTCAGTACTATGAAAATACAATATGAAAGTGGACTGAATTGGAGAAGAATGGCCATACTGGTCCAATTCAGTCAAACTCATTTGGAATAGTTTGCTCATTCTACGTTTTCTTACAGGACAGCTACAGACAAATTGCTGACTTGTTTAAAAACGCCCATGCTTTATATTTAGAGAAGAGGCATATAAGGACATCACTTACATGTTGTTATCTGAGTATTGCAGCACACCAACTCTAGTTTCGGTTAGACCGATGGTGAACGCGCTGGCCGCTACCGCAACAAACTGCTTGACTGTCTCGAAGTTTCCGGAACCGATGCTGCCAGATCCGTCCAGAACAAAGAACAGGTCTGAAGTCATGTTACACGGCTCAGGTGTTGGGAATACTGTTGGATGGGGAATATACAGTGCAAGTTTAAAAAAGCCCTAAGTATGCAGAAGAACAAATTTCACCGTTACTAATTTTACAGCCCTTTCATATCCATTTGTTTATTGGCGTCACTGCACCCAACAATGGTATTCCTACAAATTAAGTTCACAACGTAGCCTTGGTAACTACTTTACCTTCGAATGAAAGTGCATCTGTGATGGATAACAACATTATACAGAGCACAGACTTAAAAGGCCAACACTATACTCAATGGTAAATTGTTTACCAACAAACATCCATATACACCTGTGTCTAATGGCACAAGGCCCACCATACGTATTAAGTAAATTTGGAAACCTCATTGTACCTGACTACTTACATTTAGGAACACATCAACAGTTCACCCCCAACGTTCTTACCAGGGATAGTGGTCGGCGGTGGGCTGGGGCTTGTTGTAGGCGGCGGACTGGGGCTTGTTGTAGGCGGTGGACTGGGGCTTGTTGTAGGCGGTGGACTGGGGCTGCAAATGGTGCTAACAATCCGGCTGCTGTTCTGAGCCAGAAGATTAAAGTTGGACAGCTCAAACACATGGCCAGGGTTGTTGTTGGCAATCTGCAGTAGTTCTGAGCGGTCAAAGTTGCCCACACCGATAGCGAAGACGGTCACTCCGTCAGCGGCCAGAGCTTGGGATGGCGCGACGACGCTGTCCGATGACGCTCCGTCGGTCAGAACTACCATCATCTGGAAAAGTAGAACTTCTAGTCAATAAGACAGACAATTTTCATATCGATAGTCTCATTGAAGTCTTCCTTAGTGTTACAAGTTCCTCTTAAATCTCCAAGAACAGTTGGACACACACCAAAGTCAAGGTTCCACGGCCTTTATTTTCCACACCCTTGCACCAGGGCTCCCTTCTCAGAATGCGTAACTATGCTCCCCTGGAGCATTCCATTAGGGATATGGGGGTGTTCCAAACTAACTTCCCTACGATACATAACACGATACATAACACCTCCCCCTAGGAAGATATCGTACCCGTTATCTTCTGACACATCATGGTTGAAGTACATGTATCGTCTTGTCCCATCACAACATTGTCAACAAGTATTCTAATCATTTAACAATCATTTGTCGCCTTGCTAACAAGGGGTTCCAACTAGCTTAGTTTCCTACTCACATAATACAGGTATGAATACCCGCTATAAACTACATGGTACAATCTCCATCTTCTATCAGTGTTATCTTACCACTACTCACACCATGCCCTGCTAAGCGCATCTGCATTAGCATTTTCGGCCCCTTTTTTGTGGACGTACTTCACATCATACTCCTGGAGCATCAGGCTCCATCGCATCAACTTCCTATTCCTGTCCCTGACCTGTGTCAACCATGAAAGCGGCTTGTGGTCCGTTTGGACAGTAAACTGCCGGCCATACAGATAATATCGAAACTGCTCGATGGCAAACACGATGGCAAAGCATTCTTTCTCGATAGTGGCCCATCGTTGCTGCGTCTCGCTCAACTTTTTACTTCTGTAGGCCACTGGTCTGTCTCGCCCATTGTCATCCTCTTGGGACAGCACAGCTCCCACTCCCGTATCACTGGCGTCTGTCTGTACCACAAACGGCTTAGTGTGATCCGCCAGGATCAACACTGGGTTGGAGCTCAGCACCTCCTTCAACTTCAGGAAGGCCCTCTCGCACTCCTCATCCCAATTGACCATATTTGGCTGGCCCTTCTTCAACAGATCGGTCAGGGGTGCGGATATGGTTGCCATGTTGGGGATGAAATCCCTGTAGTAGTTTACAATACCGAGGAAGGCCCTCACTCCCTTCTTGGTTTTCGGTTGCGGCGTTGATTGGATGGCTGCCACCTTGGAAGTAGTAGGGGACACCTCCCCCTGTCCTATCATCTTCCCCAGATACTCAGCCCTCGGGACGCCGATAGTGCACTTAGACGGTTTGATCGTCAATCGCGCCAACTCTAGACGCCACAGTACCTCGTCCAGGTGGCGGAGGTGATCGTCCCATGTATCACTGCTGACGATGATATCGTCCATGAAGGCTCTGGCAAAGTCCTCGGTTCCTCTCAGGACCTTGTCCATCATCCTTTGGAAAACAGCTGGAGAGTTTTTCAATCCGAACGGAGCCCGAGTAAACTCGTGATGTCCGAACGCTGTTTGGAACGCAGACTTACGACGTGCTTCCTTCGTCAAGGGAATCTGGTAGAAGCCCTTTGTAAGGTCAATCACCGTAATGTACTTAGCTGCGCCAACCTTATCCACCAGCTCCTCCACCCTGGGCATGGGGTACTTATCTGCTATTGTGTCGGCATTGAGCTTCCTGTAATCCACACACATGCGCACTCCTCCGTCCTTCTTTCCGACAAGGACCACCGGGGCGCAGTAGGGGCTGTCTGACTCCACTATGATGCCCTCCTCCATCAGGGTGTCCAGCTCCTTCTTCAGGGTTGGCCTGACTGCATGCGGGAGGGGGTACGGCTTCTGGGAAACTGGTTCATCTTGATGTGTCAGGATGTCCATTTCCGCCATGTTCGTGAGGCCTGGTTTACTCGAGAACACCTTCGCATGCTTCCGAACCACCTCCTGTACTTGCTTCAGTTGAGCCTGAGTTAGCTGCTTGCCATAGGTGATCTTTGACAAGTTTTCTTCCTCGCTGGTCCACTCAAGCCCCTGTACCTCGCTATCAAACTCGTCTTCAACTCCGGCGAAAGCCGCAATCTGCACCGGCCTCTCCCAGGGACGTAGGAGGTTAACGTGGTAGATTCTCTTCCTCTTCACACGGCGTCCCGTGTCCACTTCATAGTTGACGTCGCTTAGCCTCCGCGTGACCTTGTACGGTCCAGCCCACTGCTTCTTCAGTTTGCTTGCAGAGGTGGGCAGCAAGACGAGGACTTCTTCTCCGACGTCGAACTGTCGGTCTCTGGCCTTCTTATCGTACCAGACCTTCGCCTTGCTCTTCTTCTCCTCCTGCATCTGTTCTGACCATTCCTTGGCCCACTCCAGCCTGTTCTTCACCTCCGTGATGAACTCCACCACATCTTCTTCTGGCTCTGGAGTGTCCAGCCACGCCTCCTGTAGGACCTTTAGCGGACCTCTCACTTGTCGTCCATATGTCAGCTCAAAGGGCGAGAAACCTGTCGACTCGCACGGCGTATCTCGATACGCAAAGCATATGTAGGGCAGGTACTCGTCCCAGTCCTTTGCTTCTTCATTGACCAGCTTCCGGAGCATCCTCTTCATGGTCCCATTGAACCGCTCGCACATGCCGTTAGTCTGGGGATGATATGGAGAAGTCCAAATCTTGTCAATGCCCAACAGCTGACACATCTGTGTCGTGATTTCGGCCATGAAATTTGCTCCCTGATCACTGAGGATCTCCTTCGGGATACCGACGCGAGTGAAGAACGTGATAAGTTCCTTCACGACTCTCTCTGCTTCCATTGACGGCAGTGGGGATAGCCTCTGGGTATCTGGTCCCATGGTCAATGATGGTGAGCACGTATTTGTTTCCAGACCAGGATCGTGGAAGGGGGCCTACAATGTCGATGCCTAGCCTCCTGAACGGCTCGCCGATAACAGGTGGGCACACCATTGTGTGTCTGTCGTCAGCTCGACGAGTCGCTGTCTTCTGGCACTCCGGGCAGCTTTTGCAGAACTTCTTGACGTCTCTACCCATTGCCGGCCAGTAGAAATGCTCCAGCACGCGTTCCTTTGTGCGCGTGACTCCGAGGTGACCTGACAGCGGTATCGAGTGAGCCAACCGAAGCATCTCCTGACGGTGAACCATGGGCACTACAACCTGCATCACCGCATCACTTCCCTCACGATCCTCCCCAGATCTCGACCACTTGGTCCACTTCCTCATGAGAAATCCATCCCTGTTCTTGACGAAGCACGTCTCCAGCCCCTTAGCCTGTGTTTCACTCACAGCATCCTTTCCATGCTGACTGCAGGGACACATCATCACGTTGCTGTTTCCTCAGCACATCAGGGCTCACTTCAAACACCCTCGGTGGCTGCGCACCCTTTTCGTCGGTATTGACTGACCTACAGTCCTCCTCCTTGGACTCGGTCTCCTTCCCGTCCCCAACCGGGACGATCGGACTGGCCTTGACCCCAGTCTTCTTCTCATCTTCGGCAACTCTCCTTGCCGCTTCTTCCTGCTTCTTGGTCTGGGCTCGGGTGGCGACACATGCCATCTCGTAGTCATTCCCGAGTAGAACTGGATATGGAGTGTTCATCACGCCGACCTCCATCATCCTCGTATCTTCTCCCACTTCCAGCTTAACCCTTGCTGTCGGGATTGTGTCGACTGTTCCGTTTGCCAGCCTGACCTTAACTGTGTCTCTTGGTACGCATCCTTGGGGCACAAATTTCTGGTTGACATATGTCATGGAACTGCCTGTGTCTCTGTACATCTGCACACGCCGGCCGTTTACCACGCCTCTGCTGCTGTACTTGCTTTCCTCCCCAGATCTTTCGTCGACATCCCAGAACTTGTATCTCCCTTGGGCAAACATGCTCGTCTTGGGAGACGTCCCGAGCTTCGGGCAGTCGGCCTTCACATGCCCTATCTCCTTACAATGGAAACACTTGCCCGGGAATGCATTCGGGTCCTTACCGGAAGCACTCGGCGGCTGACGCACCATCGGCTTGTTGTTATTGGTCGGCTTGTTGTTGTTGGATTGGAAGTTGAAGGACTTGCCCGTTGTTCTGGACGGGTTGCGTGGGCGTGCTCCTTCAAACAGACCGCGGCCATGTGCTATCAGGTACTGCTCGCTCATCTTCCCTAACTCCTCTAGGGATTTAGGCTTTCTCTCCCGGAGGTGTATCGCCAAATCCGTCGGGCACAGATCTAGGAATTGTTCCTGGATGATCAGGTCACAAACTCCCTCGAACGTTTTTGAAGTTCCCGACAGCTCGATCCACCTGTTGAGGTAGCTGGATAAACGCACGATATACTGATCAGGCCCTTCCCCTTCCTGAGGAATTTCCGACCTGAACTTCTTGCGGAACCCATCTTCGGTAAGCTCGTACCTCTTTAGAATGGCTTCCTTTACCTTGTCATAATCTTGCGCCTCAGCGTCAGACAGCCTGCTGTATACGTCTAGTGCTTTCCCTGTTAGTAGGGCACTCAGTAGAGACGCCCACGTGTCTTCCGCCCAGTGGTTGGCACGGGCAAACCTCTCAAACCTCAAGAGGTACCCATCTATTTCTTCACCTTCCATGAAGCTGGGTAGTCTCGGCGTCTTAGCCTTGACGTCTCCTGTACCTTCTTTCTTGGCCTTATGGTACTCGATTTCCGCCTGCCGTACCTTCAGCTCTTCCATCTCCAGCTCATGTCTTCGTTGAGCCTCTTTCTCCTTAGCCTCATTTTCCCTCTGAGCCTCTCTTTCCTTGGCCCGTTCATCTCTTTCTATAGCCTGCTGGGCCATCACAAACTTCAGGAGGTTTTCCCCCTCCAAGCCCATCTCCTTGCCTTGTTCGATTAGCTTATCCATGGCTGACACAGGTACACCACCCCCTAGCCACAGTCAATGAACGGTCCCTGCAATCAATGCACTATCCCTGATAAAAGTCTCTGTCCCTGATAAAAGTGGGACCAGATGTGATCGGTGAAACCCTACTCTAGAGTGCAATACTGGACTAGCCCTAGCGGTAGCTATCTGTCAACAACTCCTGACCCCATCCATCAAAAGCACATTCCTAAGCAGAGTAACCTCACAAAACTACACAAGACTTCTAGAAAATACACATCTAGGAGATACAGACTTCTACTAAGTTCTAGAAACTCGCAACAGGTCAACAGAACAACGAAAATACACCAACTGTTACCAGCTGCTTCAGTCTGCCCTCCCTCTGCCACTGTCCTCAATCATATGATAGTTCCTACAGTCAGTACATGAATCCTTTAAGACAGTCCCGCCGCTCACTCCTCCTCGAGTCGTCAATCTCCGGAAAAGCGTCCATACAACACTGCTGGGCTCCACAGCGTCCCGTCTTCTCCTGGAATTCCCTCCTGGACTCTCCTCTTGCTTCCACCGCTTCCACTGACCGCCCCGTGAAGCACCAATCCGCGATCTTTGCCGTTGTATCCACACAAAGTCCGCTGGTCTCCGCTGGTCACAGCCTTCTTCTCTGGCTCCCACGTGCCCTGCTTCTGTAGACGTTTGATCTCCAGTCCAGCCTCAGCCTCCAACCTTGCGAGATCACCACAAGGTCCACTGATTTCTGCTGGTGATACAATCTTCTCCTCAGGCTCCCACGTGCACTGATTCTGTCCGGGTCCTGTGGACGTCTGGTCTCCAACCTCAGC